TATTAGCCGTAATAGTCGTTGTTTACAAACCCACATTTCCTCCCAAGAGAGCTCAACTGAAATAAAATTTTCAAGAGCATATATGAATAGGGTAATAGTTTCATTTTTATGTAATTCATGTATGTGAGTTACATTAAAATGAAACAAAAAGTTAAAATTCGGACAGAACTTATGGGATAACCTGATATTTAATATATGAGTAGCTAGCTAGGAGTCCTGACTTAGCACCCTGGGACATTTTTTCTTTGGGGTTGTTTAAATGAGCAATTCTGCTATAGCAAACCAAGACTTTGAAAGTACTTAGACAAATAGTAAAAGTTATGTCTTCCATACCACAAGAGTTCCTGGTGAATTAAATTGAGGCGATACCTGGGCGGTCCTAGAAGTTGATAGTTGAAATCTGGTGCCCATATCGAATTTTAAATGCAGCCACATGCTAACGCTTTTCTCTCTTATTCATTTCTTATAAAATTATAGTTAATTATAAGTATTTTAAAATGTTGAGTGACTTTTCAATCACCCTGTAGATATGTGTGTGTGTGTGTGTGTGATTTTTTTTGTGTACATGATATGGCTGAAATCTTTCGTCGACCGTTGCTCCTAGTGATACACAGTTGGTAATTTTTATTCCTTGCCAGCTTTATACATGTCTATCAGTGATACCTTTGTCAATGGTGCGTTGTGAAATGAATACATAACCATTTATGAGTCTCTGACCATGGCGATCGTATTTTTATTTACGGTTACTAGAGTGAGATGAGACTGTGTGTTGCGTGTCTACCGAGAGTTACTGACGAACACCCGCAGCTCTAAGTGAATGGCCATGACTAAAGTCTTCCATTGAATAAAAGAAAAAAAAAACAGCACGCAGACAATAAAAATGTTCTTAAACAAAAAGTGAAATAAATGATTTATTTCTTTGCTGTTAAATAAAACACAACCTGAAAATCCATTGGAGTCAAACGACTGAAAAAAAAAAAGACTGAATATCACGAACAAAGTATCCACAGGAAATGAAAAGAAAGACATCTGGATCATTTAGTTCGGCAGATAGATACAGGTTCTTTTACGTTTGAATAATAAATAGCAAACATTAACAATGCTTCTGCATTTGGTCTGAATAGTGGACAGAGAGGAGGAAGGTGAAGTATTGATAACTTTTACATTTGTCTCAGAAAACTCTGACGTGTTTGATGACTAAACAGCAAAAGAAAAAGGACAAAAAAAAAATTAGAACTACTCCGAGGAGCTGCTTCCGCTGGTTCCCAGACTTCATGAATTCAAGCGTCCTACGAGGCTGGCATCCCGCTCTCACCCTTTCACTGTCGAAACTACTAAATGTAGCCGTTTCTTCTACTCCAATAGCTTCATGTCTCGCACCTCTCGCCTGTGGAACTCCCTTCCCTATTCCAGTATCCCTGAGAACTATAATCTCCAACTATTCAGATGTAATGTCAATCGACATCTCCAGTTGCCTTGATCTATCAACTATCCTTCTCTTCATCTTTTCCCTTATCACTCCTATCTGATCTTGCTCCAAATCTTCTGTAACCCCTTGCGTCCTAGTGGCTTCCCGCCTTGCCTGGGGTGAAACACTTAAAAAAAAATACTGTACAAAATGACCAACTCTTAAAAAGACATCCTGTCAAACGAATTAAAGATCAGTTCTGTCCACCCAGTTGCAGAAAGGATATCATCTGCGATAATTCGAACAGTTGCACCGTTTATGTTACCTATGGAATTCACTAAATACATGTAAATTTAGACTAATATTTATCAGCATGAAATTTTATTTACGGATCTTTACTTAATATGGACGTAAAGCCTTAAAGCATCACTTAGTATCGAATATGATATATAATCAAATGACTGCGATATTATAGACAATCAAAGCTTAGGGCCATATCATGTTGAAACATCGGTTCCTATACTATCACCAAAGTTAAGCGACTTCGAGCTTGGGCAGAACCTAGATGGATGACCGCTTCGGAATACCAGTTGATGTAAGCTTGGATGTGAGAATGGTGTAACTGATAATGGTTCGTGTTATGGTCCAGGTTAGGACCAAGGAAGAACAACACGAACACAAGAGTAGAAATAACGAAAGTATATTACACGAAATAATAATACAAGATGTGGAAGGTGTTAGTATGACTGTCAGTCTGGTTTGGAGTGAACTACTATCGGCTCGACTCGATTCGGTATCTAGCCACCCCCCACGAGGCACAAGGCCAAGTTTAACGTGGGTTTCCCGAGCCCGTAGGCTCGGCCAAAAAATGCCCGTAGAACCCGTATAAACGGGATCGGGTTGATCAACCTCCCCGAACGAGACTCTGCCCTTCGGCGGAGCCTCGTCTGGGTTCCTCTCTGCTCAGAGGCAGAGAGTTCGACCGTAAAAGCCAAGAAGCTCGGCTTGATTCGGTATCTATCCCCACCCCACCCCCACGAGGGTTGCATGTGGCACAAGGCCGATTTTAACGTGGGTTTTCCGAGACCGTAAGCTCGGCCAAAAAATGCCCGTAGAACCCGTATAAACGGGATCGGGTTGGTCAACCTCCCCGAACGAGACTCTGCCCTTCGGCGGAGCGTCGTCCGGGTTCCTCTCTGCTCAGAGGCAGAGAGTTCGACCGTCAAGCCGAGAAACTCGACTCGATTCGTCCCTCTCTCTTGAGAGGCGTAGTATACATAGTGTTAGGAAGAGTTCATTCCGTAGTTATAGGTAAGGACCCATGACAGTTCGAAATTGTTAAACGGAGAGCCGAGTTCCAATTCCAGTTGGGTTCGTTATATTCACCTACGCACAAATAGCTTTGAGAAAAGTTATGAATCGATCACTTCGCCCTAAAGCTATGGGTTAATTAGTAAGACCTGTATCATTAAATCCTTATTATCCCCTCTTGCAAAAACATTCTTGTATTCTAAAATAGTTTCTCTTTTTAAATAGCCTGCGAGATTTTGATAGAAAACGAATCAACAATTATAATAAATCAGTGCATCTAAGTAGCCTTGGTGCTCCATCGTTTTGGACTTATACCACTAAGGCTGGTTGAGTTTTCACTATTTTAGAAAATCAACATGTCACCCAGTGTTCACGTTAGTATTGAAACCAAAAATTAGCAATTTTAGCAATTTTTGAGCATTTACATTCAAATATCGTCTTTAAAATGTACAGAAATAACCTAACTTCCGCAGTTTTTTTTTTTTTTTTGTTGTGGCCTTGTTAGGGCCAGAAATAAAGACACAAAGAGAGGAATTGAGTTAAACAAATATAGTAACAGAAGCAGTAATACAAACGAGAGTGTTACAGCAAGAATGTTCAGTCTGACTGTCAGAGCTGACTGCTGGAAACTTCGCTCCCAAAAAGCAGTACCTGCTCCTATTTATAGCTGGGAGAGTCCATGCGTGCGTGGGTAAATTACCATAACATTTTTGCTTACAAACTGATTTCAGTATTTTACTATTTCAAGAATAAATACAAATAAAGTTGATATGTTTTGTATTAGATATATTGAATGGAAAATATATTCAAAGAAGAATTTTAATTAATCACCACAAGCGAAATATTCATATTTGTTATTGTATTCCGATCAGAAAAATCTTTAACAAACCTGTCAAAGATTACAAAAATGGCTTCTCATTGAATGAGATTTGTTAGATCAGTTGATATATCATATTTAACAAAAACAAAAAATAATAAATATGTATATAACAATATTGCTGGGAAAAAATTATATGACAAAATGTTTTAAATTTGCATTGTTTATTGAAAATAACACTAGAATTATTGCTCTCTATAACACACTACATCATAATATAGTTAAATTGTTAAGTATAATTTCCCTTTGAAGTAAATGAGGGTCTAATTTTTATGGCACAATGATTTAGTAATAATGTACTTGTGACATGCATCTTGTCCATTTAAAATTTGTGGAGCTTCATTAGATTATAAATTTTATAAGGCTGTGCAATAAGGCTTTTATTGATCAAAGGAATGAAAATCCCATGCTACAATTTTGAACCAGAACTTAAACTTTTAATCTTTTGAGCCCTGACCACCACTTTACCGGTGGTAGGGAAAAATGACGTAATGTCCAGTCACCGGTTGAACGGTGGGTAAACACTTGTAACTATTAGGTTGGTGCAAAAATAATGACGTAATAATGTCGTTTTTGACGTTAAAAATACGTTAAAAAACGACATTATTACGTCATTATTTTTGCACCAACCTAATATTTTTATATCTACTCTGAAATAATACATACCAATTATTTGCGACTTTTGACTCAGGAATTCAGGCAAAAGGGTTAAAATTGTTCAGGAACGCCGGCTTCAAAGGGTTAAAAGACAGAGAAGATAGTGACCTGCTGTAGGATCTTAAATATCTGTCTATTCTTAATGCTGCCTGAAGTTAGGGTTCGAACAGCATCGCTACTTTAGCGTTATTTCCTCCAGAAAAGTTCGAACGAGCTACGTTGCTTAGTTGCACCAGTTCAGACCTTCCCATCTAAGATGCATTCTACAGTCGACCAGATCATCCACATTCCATTTATAGTCCATTAATCCTTTGACCTCTGACCACAGCTTTACCGGTGGTAGAGAAAAATGACGTAATGCTTAGCTACCAGTTGAACGGTGAGTAAACACTTGTAACTATTTTTATATCTACCGTGAAACATTACATAACAATTATAGAGAGAGATTATAGATCATAGTCTTCCAACTATGGGTTAATTAGTAAAACTTGTTTCATTAAATCCTTATTATCTCCACTATCACATCACACAAAAAAAATTACAATCTAATAATATTCTCTGGATTTAAATAAAGTCAGGAAAAATAAAATCAATAAAACCTTATGGAAACGTAAACAAATTATATTTGAAATGGATTTTTTTTAATTGGACTTTATTTCTTATTAATATAAACTTTATTTTTGTGAGTGAAAATATTTATTTTGTTAGGTATTTTTCGATTTCTAAGCCGATTGACATCAATTCCACTGTTTGAAATAGATAGATAGATAGATAGATAGATAGATAGATATGGACAAATTGAAAATGATAGATAGATAGATAGATAGATAGATAGATAGATAGATAGATAGATCGGGATTAACTGAGATAGGAAGAGACACGGATAGGAAGAGACTGGGATGACATGAGATAGATAGATAGATAGATGTGAACATACTGAGATAGATAGATAGATAGATAGATAGATAGATAGATAGATAGATAGATAGGGATTAACTGAGATAGGAAGAGACACGGATAGGAAGAGACTGGGATGACATGAAATAGATAGATAGATAGATGTGAACATATTGAGATAGATAGATAGATAGATAGATAGATAGATAGATAGATATGAAGTGGACTGAGATAGATAGATAGATAGATAGATAGATAGATAGATAGATAGATAAGGGATTAACTGAGATAGGAAGAGACACGGATAGGAAGAGACTGGGATGACATGAAATAGATAGATAGATAGATGTGAACATATTGAGATAGATAGATAGATAGATAGATAGATAGATATGAAGTGGACTGAGATAGATAGATAGATAGATAGATAGATAGATAGATAGATAGATAGATAGGGATTAACTGAGATAGGAAGAGACACGGATAAGAAGAGACTGGAATGACATGAGATAGATAGATAGATAGATAGATAGATAGATAGATAGATAGATAGATATGAAGTGGATTGAGATAAGTGGACCGCTGTAGTAAGCACCTAACTCCTCGTGCTATCCCCAACCTTTGCAAGAGTCATATCAGGCTTAAAATCGAGTACTGATGTCATATTTGGGCAGGAGCTGCCGAGTATTCCCTTTCCAGTCACGAGAGAGTCTAAAAGCGTCTCCGGGTTCTTGTGGGTAACAAATTATTTTCCACGCTACAATCACTCTCACACAGACGAAACGTCGGTCGCAAACCTCTCACTGCTATATCGCTACTCTCTTGGAAATTTCTCTGACGGACTACATTCAATAGTTCCCCCAGTTCTAACCTTCTGGAACGCGCCAGTTCTAGGACCCGCCATGATACGCGCATTGTAATAAACCACCTGTAGTGAGATGCAAATTAGTATAATTTGCATATGAGCAGGTAGCTCATATGATAAATGGACACCAACGAGAACTGAGGTCGAACGCTTACTTAGCAAGATACACGACACAACAATGGCGTCGCCGATAGGATACTCTTTGGTCCTTGAAGACCCAGAATACGTAGACACGTGGATTCATTGCTTTGCTGCTAATGCAAGATACAAAAATTTGAAAGACAACAAAAACAGAGGAGGGGAAAACGAAATCACCGACTTGTTTATGGCTACCGCTGGTTGTGAAGCGATTATGAAGGTTGTTTCAATGGTTTACCCTCGAGAACTAGAAGAAATGACTTTCGAAGAAATAAGTCAGGTTATTAAGGGAAACATGAGGCCAAAGAAAAGACTGGTGATTGCAGAAAGGACATAATACTGAAATATTAAATAAAGAAAATGGGAACAGTGTTCTGGCTCATGCTGACCAAATAAGATCCCAAGGAGAAGAATCGGATGAGGAAATGCCTTCAGAGATGCCCATCATTGATGTAACAGAAGAGTTAATGCAGAATGAAACTGCGGAGGAAGAAGTAGAGAGGGATGAGTTAGAGGAGGAAGAAGTAGAATGGGACAAGTTAGAAGAGAAAGACCAGAGTATGCAAGAGGAACAGTTCGATTATAGGGAAAGACGTGATAGATCTAGATCTCCAAGGGAAAGGAAAGAGATAAAGGAAGATGTTCAGGAGGGCACAAGAAGAAGTACAAGAAGTACTCGCGGCATAAGGCCCCTCCATTACAGGGAGATGTAGTGAGATGCAAATTAGTATAATTTGCATATGAGCAGGTAGCTCATATGATAAATGGACACCAACGAGAACAGAGGTCGAACGCTTACTTAGAAAGAAACACGGCACAACACCACCAAACAACCCCTCCGTGTTCTATTGGTGAGAAGTAAGTTCTACTCAACCAGCTTCATCCCACGAACCACTGCACTGTAGAACAGAGCCCCATGAGGATGTTTCCTGATCGCTACAATCTTAATCTGTTTGTTTCCGGTTGACTATTATATCCCCCACATATCCACATAAACTGCGCCTCTTACTCAGTAACCCTCTACCTCGAGTGGCTACCGGGTCCTGTACAGTGTAAAAAAAAATATGTTCAACATTCTAAAATATGTGAATATTCTAATTGTTTAGCAATTAGCTGAAATGTTGCCAATAAATCCAATTCACCGGTTTCGTCAATTACTTCGGTCAAGGTGTTTAGCGTCCATTCATCAATTAAGCTTTCTTCTTCAGTCAAAACTGACAATAGATAATCTATTTGGAGATTTTCTTGGTATGCTTTAAAAAGCAACGATTTTAAGAATTTTTTTTTTCAAAATTACGTTTTTCCAAAAAGACTAGTAAACAGATTAACCTATAAATTTTGATTTTA